GGGGAAAAAACAAAAACAGGAACTGAAAACTCATATCCCATTGGCTGGAACTAATTTACAGGATCATCCCTTGCTATAATGGAGGCTGGGGGATGTATTCTCTATCTGGATCTATGTGCTTACTAATATTCAGAGTAAGGGTTACAATACTAAAAATGGAAGGAAGCATGGACACTAGGTAATGGTAGTCAGTAACTTTTATGACAAGCCATGTATAAAGTGACAAAAATGTGAGCAATATGAGTTCTTTTTGTGTGCCTGCATGGCGTAAGCCGTCGAGTGCTTGCCGACCAACCAAAAGGCAGTACCTTGGAAGAAGGATCTACTTGAAAACCACAGCCGATGAAAACCCTAGAGTGCTTTGTATCTGAGACCCGGGGGTCAACATGGCACGGAAACAGATGGGCAGTGACTGACTGGTTTGGTTTATTGTGTATGTACATCTTGTTGTTTTGGGGATACGTTGGGGAAGCAATCCTCGTCCATACAGAGGTTATTGATTTGGCATTACGATGGATCAAAAGTCAAAACCCCTTCATTTCACTTGGACATGTCAATATGCCAGTGTTAAGAGGGCATCCGAATGTGCTTTCTACACAGAAGAAATATAGAGGAACAGGCGGCCTGAAAAATAAAATTGCAGAAGGTATGAGAAATTGCATGGCAATCATGGGAGGGACAGAAAGGACAGTAGGGCTGTGAGGGGGAGTGATGGGATCTGATTCATGGCAATCCCATGAGAGTCGAGTAGAACTGTGCTCCATAGGGTTTTCAAGGGTGGTTGTGTGCTTTGCAGCAGATTGCCAAGTGTCTCTGGGTAGATTCAAGGTTGCAGTCTTTTGATTAATTGTATTTCACAGCTGTCCATTCTGAATCACAGTGACCCTACAGAACAGAGTAGAACTCTTGCATAGAGCTTCGAAGATTCGGTCAGTCTTTACAGAAGCTGGCTGCCTCATCTCTCGCACAGAGGCGACTAGTGAGCTCTAACCACCAGCCTTTCCGTTAGCAGCCCCACACCTAACCCAGGCCCCCAGGGAGGAGTTACAGAGGAGCACGCAGATGCTCAGATACATCATGACTGCACACGTGGACGTGGCTCAGGGAGTGTGAAACCCCAGGGGTGACTGTGGACGAGAGTAATCAGACCTTCATAGGAGATGGCAGGGCTCTTGACTAGAGCATTTTATTTGGTGATAAACTATGCACGGGAGTTATAAAGCACTGAGCTTGAAAGCCGCCCATGTTAAAAAAAGTCTTAAGAGGACTTTTAACTGCTTGTTGGTTTGTTTTTTAGAAATTAGGTAGAAAAAGCATTAGAGAAGAGTCGTTGTCACAGTAACTGAATTGGGATCTGCTTAGACATGGGG